GGGGGGGGCAAAGGTCCAGGCAGCAGCTACCAGCAGTACAGGCACATGGGCACGGCACGCGGGGTGGCCGAGTGGGAACATTAGCACCAGTCTAAACCCGCCTAATTAGACAGGACTGAACCCCCCGGAACAGTATCACTGTGTCCACCTCCAGCGGGGGCCCCCCGCCCCCACAGGCCTCCTCTGCTCCCCATCCAATCAGCTGAGTGCTCTGGGTTGTGGCCAACTCTTCACCATCAATCCTGACTCTCTCTATCAAGAGAGAGAGACATCAGATGAGTTACGGCGCCCTCGTAGACGTAAGCTTTCATATTCCCCCCCTCGGCCGGACCACCGGCGGTAAATCGGAGCGGGGGGGCGTCGGGCCAGAGACGTTTTGATTAAGAAATTAATTCGGCAAACAAGTGTGTACTCATGGATAGAGAAACAAAACAGCACGTCTAATCTTTTCACATTAGCACGGTGTCAGTTTTAATTTAGCCGCCTCTGAAACACAGCAGCGGTTTGTTGAGCGTGCAGCCAAGTGAGACCTCGGCCTGCCACCCATTTAAGAGCCACACCGAGGGACGGGGCTATTAGCTAGCTCCCTCTGCCTCGCATCCCCCTCTTTTCCCTGTTTCTCACTCAGATGCCAAAGGGAGAAGAAAAAAAAACCTGAGTTAGCTGAGTAATCAGCGAGGACATCTTTCGAGCGGAACATAATTGAGCTGCAGAGAAGATTAGTGCAGCGAGCTCAAAAAAGCAACAGAAAAACAGACTTAAAATGCCTTCGGGGATTTTTAAAAGTGTATCCACAACAGAAGCAGGCGAGACGTTTAATGTCACGGCTTATTCAGATATTAATCACATGAACTGTAATAAGGAAGGGCAGTGTTTCACCGCCCTGCCCTCGAGTCCAATCAGAGCTGGAGGAGGGTAACGCGAGCAGAAAAGTCGCATTTGACCTTGTAGCTGAACTCCGCCGAGGTAAGAGTGTGTTTAAAGAACCCCGTGTTGGTACTCTGAGCAAACAATGCCCTTCCAGGAGGGTGTGTACGTGAGCGGAGGCACACAGGACACAAAGAGACGGAGCCAGGAGGGGGAGGGAGAGAGGATCCATTCATCCCTGCATTCAAGGGCTTTCAGAAGGGCTTCGTTTCAGACATGGGGAGTTCAGAAAGCAGATAAAAAAGATTACCAACACTTTTTATCCACTTTATCACCGTCTGAGCCACAGTGCTGAACAACAGCCTCTTTTCTTTAATCTAACACTAACCAGGCTCATCTAACCTGGGATTCTAATTACTCTCCACTGAAATAATATCCAAGCTTTCATAAGAGTTTATTTCTTTTACTTTTTTAACAGTAAAAAATTCAGCTGCACGTTTGTCTTGTTTCCTAATCGTCCAAGCTTCTCGCAGTTCTGAATAATGTTTTCCATAGGACAGAATATAAAAGACAGGGTTTTTAAATCAAAATAAATCTGGGGTTCTTAGGTCAAACACTTCAAACCCAACGAGGGACGACAGGTCCACACTTCTGTTTGCAAAGGGTCACAGGTCAAACAGGTTGGTGTCAACAAAGCTGCGAGCAGCACTGCGCTAACTCGTTAGCATGTTTTTTTCATCACTCTGTACCATCCAGAAGAGTCTGAGTTATCTGAAGTTACTTCAGAGCCACAGAAACACCCCAAACCCTGCTGGAAACTGACTAAAGTCACAATTCTTCGAGAACATGACAAGAAGTTTTGCAACCGAGGGTTTAGCTGCAGTCTCAAAAATGTTGAGTTAGTATGTAGTAAAGAAAATGCACAGAAACACTCTGAAAAACATAGAAAAGAGATGAACAACATAGTTTTACCTGCTACAATGAGAAAAGTGAGCCGTTTGTAAGCTTATTCACAGCACAAATTAACAACAGAAACAGTTCAGCTCAGAATATTCTGACTTTGGTCCATTTGTGGACGCATCATATACAGGGACAGAAACAGCTAAACAAACAGTTTTCTTCTGAGGTTGCAGTAATCATATAAAACCATGTTTAAGTGCAATGTTTGATAATCTAACACAGTTAAAAAGGCCAATAAATAGTCCCAACCAAAAACAGAATTAAAATTGAGACTGAAAAAATAAATCAAAAGAGGAAAAATTGAAAAAGAATAATATGGTCTAACTCTACCACCAAGGGATAGTAATAGAACAAAGTTAACTTTATCAAATATCGGAAAGAGAGCATTAGTTCAAAGTACCTAGTTCCTTAATTTCAAATGGTTTAAATGGCTTATAAAGGAAAAAACTCACTGGAATCCATCATGCACTCTTAATAGAAATGGTCTCAGAGACACAAGTGAGCCCTAAATGAAAACAACTACATAATGACTAGTTATTGCCGCAGGACTAGGAAGTTATAAGTCAGACTGCAGTAAATATTTTGTTTTACGGCTTAAATTTGCTCAATGACTGTTGAAAAGATAACAGGAGCCAATACCAGTCCACTTCAGTCAGTGGTTCCTCGGATCATATCAACCTGACTTCACCTGTTTTTAAACCGTATCCAAACATTAGACGGGATTCAATATTTGAGCTTCATCCACTGATGGGATAACATGACCCGGTTGAATTGCACTGATAAGAGGATGTGCACCCATTCCTGACCACAGACTCACACACACAAACACACACTCCATGACATTTATGGCCCGTTTGGATTCTGTTTGACAAGAGATGCACGCAGAGCTGTGTTGCCAACCAACACAGCCCCCCCCTCAGACAGAAAACCCACTGACTCAACTCCCTCCACCTCATCTCAACCCATAGAAATCTGGAAAACTAGAAGAACAAATCAACCAAAATGACATCCAAACTTTTGGGATGACAGCAAAATACTTGTATTTGACATGAACACAACGGAGCCCCCAAAAGGATCCTAAATTAAACCGATGCTGACGGGTGTCCTCCTAAAAACGAGACCACGTATTCAGTATGTGGAAGCTCTCCGAGGCGCCCAGCCTCCTCCAGTTTAGATAATCATTAGCAAATCACCCTCACGTTCCCATGTTTCCAGCAGGACACGTTTATTAGTCGGTTACTGCTAGTGCTCATAAAAGGAGGGCCGGGGCCAGTGTGATCTGGTCACATGGTCACAGAGCAGCTTCATTCAGCTAAAGGGGCTTGTTGGAAAATGACATCTGCATTAATCAATAATCACATCTTTGTTTATAAATGTCACACACGTGTCAGCACATCACAAACACAAAGATAATCGCGACAAAAGTCGACACTGCTGGCCGACAAAAAGCCCAATCGGATCACCAACGACAGCTGAAACTACTTAAAAAATAATAACTATAGTATTATAAAATGGTGACCAATCGAGGGGTTTAAAAAGGCGTTCAAAATCTGTTTGAGAAACAGAGGTTAAGCAGGCACACATGCAGAACGGGGAAACAACAGAGGAATTTTAACATGAAGAAGAATGTCCCCCTGACAACTGGGAGAGCTATATCTGGACGCCACGTCAACGAGAAAAGAAAGTGCCTACGAAAACCCAAATGCCCAACGCTGGCCCTTCCACAGCAAAACCAGCCCCTGGTAACCCGACAGAGCTCCCAGAGCCCTAAATCTGCTCCCAGAGCCGTGATAAACACTCACTCGCTTTGGGTCCCAGCCAGCTGCAAACCAACAAAAAGGACCCGATTGTTGATCTTTGAGCTTTAACAACTTATCTGAGTTAAAATTAAAGTTAACTTTGGTGCACAAAAGAGTTGCCACTGCTCCGACCTTTAAAACAGCAGCCAGCTCAAAAGGAAAGGCTGGACTAACTCATTAGGACGGTAAATTCTGATTATTACTATCCAAAGTCTTAACTCAAACAGTTAAGAGGACCAACGACACAATATTAAGCTTTAAAAGAATGTGATTCTGTTACATAAGAAGCACAACACACATTTCAGAGGTACAGTATAAGACCCTATTCTGAATCCAGCTCAAATTACATATTAATGAGTCTGAGAAGCACAATCAGACGTTTGAAAACACTTTACTTTAGTCTTATTGTGGGATTTTATTATTTTTACACAAAGGTCGAAACGAACAAACTGATTTAAAGTGAAAATCATCTCAATGTGTGACTAAAAAAAGCTAAAACAAATAACATTTACTGTGGTATTTCAGGCCTTTTAAAAAAAAAAAAAGAAGCTAAACTTAGAAGGTTAAAAGTCTTCCACGTGCAACATGGAGGATATTCGGAGCATAAACCAGTGGGAGGGGATTTTAAATGATGCTGACATCTGAAAGAACAACATCTGTCAAAACTGAGTTTTAAAAGCTAAAACTTTTAATCAGAACTGGGTGAGCACAGTAACCCAAACACACAGTCGACACTTTGGAGGCTCTGCTAAGGCCGGATATGTCCAAGAAGGCAAGCTATCACCAAACTACAGACCTGGGAGAAAGTGAAACTGCCTCGGGGCTCATAATATCCCCGTGTGTACAAACGCACAACAGCCTGGAAGCAGCACCAAAACTACTGGTGAAACAGCAGAAAACATTATTTCAGTGGGTTCATTTTCTTATCCGGTTTTGTTGACATGAGAAGTGGGACAACAAGCCGGTTAACGCATTAGCTGCTAACTAATCAATGCAAACTGAATGCCATCATGCTAATAACACCAGACCATCTCATGAGTCTCCCTTCTGGTCTCAAAAGAAGAAGAAGAAGAAGAAGAAGAAGAAAAAGAAGAAGAAGAAAAAGACCCACCGTGCAGCTCAGTCTGAGGTCGTGCTGGACTCAGTCTTCCTCCTTCTGGGGATCCCCGTTAAAACTGGGGCTCTGTGGAGCTGGTGCTTTCTCACCGGCCGGCCTGAGTCCCGCCCTGGCCGCGTCCTGCCACAGATTAGAGCCACCGTGAGGCGGGCGGGAGGTGGGGCTCACATGGGAGCGAGAGGGGAGGAGCAGAGGACGTCCTGAGAAAGGCCGAGCGGCCCTAAATGTGCCTTTGAGACACAATAAACAGAAACAGAGAAACAGAGGCAGCAGCACGCTGTGGGCTCTGACACACGTTCCTCCGGTGGATTTGCATCAGTCCGACACCACAAATATCAGCGTTATTCAAACGAGGTGAAATCCTCCAGCTGAGGCTCTATCAGAGCAGAACCCGGTTCCCAGCACTGCTGGTCACTGATTTACAGACAGAGACCAAAGATTATCTACTCACTACCTGGAACAGATCGCAGTATTTTGCTAACAAAATGCTTTTTTTTATCATCTTTCCCTGTTTTTGGTGGGCATGATGTACATGGATAATGCTTTTTGCATCAAAATAATAACCAAAATTCCTGAAAGAGACCTCAGATCAGCCTTTGGGGCACACAGAAATGATGCTTGCTTAGAAATAATACCAGTATAGAATAACTACGCTGACGTCCAGCTCAGAGTGAAATCTGGCTTAAAGCTGGGAACAAGAAAATTAGTGAAGCACAACAAAGGAGAGAACTTGAAATAGAGAATAAAATGACATAATAAAATATGGATGTTTGATCAATATAGAAGTGTTACTTATCATGTCGCCTAAAGTGATAATTAAAACTATTTGAAATTAACATTTTCAAACGAGGAGTTCCTCCAGAGTGCTCGAGGCCACCTTCTGCTAAATGAATGTGACTCAGTTTTTTCTTCATCAATAAGTCAATAGGTTTGTAAATAAATCTTTTTATTTATGTTTTTTAAATTATGTCACATATATTCAACTGATCCCTCTTTTGTTTTTACTTAATACCAAACCAGTTAAGAAATAGGACTCTTTTCAGGTAAATATTAGCTCTTATAATAATGCTTGTGCAGCAGAGAATTAATAAATTGACTCTATATTAAATCTAGACATTTGTAAACAAAGAAAAAGATTCTAATATCAAACTTTGTTTCTGAAACTGTAAGGGAAAACAATAACTAATGTCTTCAGGTATCTATTGTGCATTTCTTTGTTTAAATACTGCTTCATTTTGCTGTATGAAACCTGATTAAAATTTTGTTCTTATTTATTTTAGTTTTTTTTCCACAGAGGTTTTGTTTAATATTCTCATTTACACTCTTCATATGAGAAGCCATTATGACACCAAACAAAGAGCCTAAAGAGAGAGACTGAAACTGATTAATTATTATTTCTCCACAGGTCTTACGTAAACAGACTAACACATTAAAGCTGGACTCGGTAAGAAGAACCTCATTCCATACAGCTTCTGTTAATGCCTGTCCTTCACATCGCCATCAACACTGAATAATGCACAGAGGATAAAGAGGCTTTTACACAAAGGTCCCATTCATTTGCCAGCAGTTTGTACAGTTTTACTGACTCACTCTCATTTGACTTTACAGTCCAAACTGAGCTGCTCTAAGTCCCCAAACTGTACTGTGCATTAGCTTGTTTTAGAGCTTGGTTTAATTCAACTTCTAAGTTTTTTTCTTCTGTTTTAATTTAGACTGCTTGAGCCAGCAAAATGAAGGTTCCACACACTATAACCAAACAAATATATAATTCTTTATAGTGCCATACACCTCTAAAAGGCCAATTTGAGAAGTTTACAAAGCAGAGATAATATAACTGAACTTTTTTTCATAAACAAAACGCCGGAGAGGTCGAGCCACCCTACAACTAGCTCTCCATTAATAGCTAAAATAAGGCGTTTGATGTGGTAACCTTTGACCTTTGACCCGGGAGCTTCCTAACGACGGACCCGGTGTTACAGAAGTTGTTAATTAAAGATGCTAAACCCGCGCGAGCATCCCCGCCTCCGCCCTCCTGCAGCCGTCCGCACAGCTTCCCCCCCCGGACAACTTTAGACAGACCGCAAACCGACACGGAAACCGGCGGACGGCGGCGGAAACCTCCGGGGAGACGCCGCGGGGCGAAAAGAGGAAAGAAGTAGTCCCACTTACCGGATAATTTCGCTGGTTTCTGCTCAAGGTCGCTCTCCGGGCTCCGGGGCGCCCCTCCGTAAACTTCAGCTGTCAGCGGATGGTCCGCTCTGCGCTGCATTTGGTCATCTGGGGAGCGAGGCATGCTGGGAAATGCAGTTCTCTGACCAGCTTTTTCTCTGCTGAAGCACAACAGTCAGGATTGTTTGGTATAAAGCCACAAAGAGCCATCTTAGTGCCTATAGCCATCCTCTTTATCTTATTTAGACTTTTTTAATAGTTGAATAGTGTCGTTTTTCTTCTTTTTTTAGAAGTTATCATAATCTGAAGGGTTGATTTAAACATCCAAACATGCGCTGTGTCTGTAAACTGACTCTTTACGGCTGGTCACATGTCAAGTATTTAAAGCCAGGGAAATCACAACACACCTTGTGGACATTTTTAGTTAGTCTAGCACTCATCTATCGTGTGACAACTGACAATATTTAAGCCCTAAATTACAGAAATATCACATGGAGGCTTAAATGCTATCTTGCGTCCATTTTAATAAATATTTTCCTGATTTCCTCACATACCCTAACCACACCCATGTTCCTAAAGAAACCTCCTCCAACCTGACCTCTCCGGTCAGGTCCTGCCTTGCATGTGTGGACAAAAATAACATCTGGAGTAGATGTTACTCATTGGTGCCTCTCTTCCTTTGTCAGGATCCAACTAATAAGGGCTTTCACATGTGACTGGGGCAAATGTTGAGCTATTTTTGAGCCAACACACAGGAAAACACCAGAAAACAGATGACAGTCCAGCAGAGTTTGTCAGCGTGTGTCTACCTCTAGTGGTAAAACACTGAACGAGCAGAAAGAGTTCAGAGAGCATGAGCCTCTGAAATAACCCATTTGTTAGTTTAGTTACATAAAGGTCTCACACAGAGACAGAAAAGTTACACTTGCATTTTGCAGCTTCATTTGATCTGTGTAGCAAAGGACTTCTGAGTGTCACAGGAAGCATGAGCTGAGGTATTGTTTATACTTACAGATATCATTTCAATAGCAGGAGTTTAAATTTATAATTTTGTCAGATACAATAGTCACAAGTCATTCCTGAAGATATAATGAGGAGTTTCATTATTATAAATTGCTTTTACAGAGTTTAAACAATAATGTAAATAGATAAGTCAGTAATATTACAGGTGTTTAAAGTATTGGTCTACATTCTTTTACAAGGACTTTTACAATCTGGGTTTTTTTAAAAAGCAAATTAAATCATATGTATGTATTTTGCCTGATCTTAGAAAGAAAGCATTAAAACATATTTGCACATAAACCATTCAAAATGGTTAAATATTGACCTTAGAGTGTTATATAAGTATCAAACAAATTGTAGATACTAATGTTTTTCTGTGAATAATGACCTTTCGATACTTTGAATTGTTTTTATATTACTCACAGTGTTCAGATGTTGTTATTAAAACAGAATTTCTGTTAGCTTCTGTAATGGAAGATAATAACCAAACCGATAAGGAAAGATTAGATATGGAGACTTCAAGGAAATGATTAAAAGTCCTTGAGAAAAGGGGTGTAAACTCTAAGCCAAAAACTTGTGACTGTTACATGACACCAGTAAACTGAAACATTAGCACTTTTACTCATGTAAAACATGAACTGTAAGAAAATTGAACATTTCCTTGTGACTCTGGTCACAACTTATATTTCCACAGATTGAATGTTTGCAGCCCACAAATCATTTTGCTCGTTTTGCTCAAAAAATTAAAACCAGGTCAGTCACACAGTAAGGAGTTTGTCAGTTGAACTACAAAGTGAACCTGAACGAAAAATAAAAATACTGAGAAAACCCATGCGTAGAAACCCGTTGTGAGGAAAGCTCTGCAGCAGGTTTGCAGGATCTTAAAACACGTGCTGCTCCGGAAAAAAACAGCAGCGCTCGCATGGCCCTCACACACCCGGGCCAGAGTCCATTCAGACTTCTCCCGGGTCGTAAACCCAGACGAGATCTTTATGAGGCTCCAGAGGCCCAGAGGATCAAACCATCTGGAGGTTTTTAAACAAACTGGACCGGTCCCAGTGGTGCGTTTGTGAAACCCCTCAGATGATTTAGCCGTTAACTGGATTTGTTATGTAACCGAAGTGCTTCAATGTGAGATATTACAGTCAAATATATCCATTATTGATAGTCTCTTTTTTGTTATTGTGGTTCCTGCCTGGCCTTGCAAAGCAAATGTCAGAGTGACATTGAGGGAGTTGTGTGGGTTAAACTAAAAATATTCTAAAAATAGAGTCGAAGTTAGCACTTAACCCACAGCTGCAGAGTCGGAGGTACAGGTCAGTGCACAAAAAAGCATTTATTACTGTTATTGTTTGGAGGTTTTAATGGTTTAACCGGGGGAGGGGAAAGCTGCGTTTTGATATTAAAC